AGTAAAGGGCAGAATCTTATCTCAGAAGTATCTAGTAAACGAAGTAGAAAGTATATATTTATTAGGATTAAGTATGTACAGTGACCTGAAAGGGTTTCGGATCAGTTCTATAAAGTATACCTAAAACATACCACGCTTGATATGAACGAAGTGTATCAAAAACGTAATACACATTTTGCAGATATACTTTACAAGGCTGGCCCGAAATCCCTTGAGGTTACTATACATGAGCTGAATATTACAATTGTTGATGATTATGATTTATTAATTGTTTCCCTTTCAGATTACGGTATTAAGCTACCTTAAATGTATTTCATACTATCTCAAAAATACCTTACTACATTCCTACTTCCTTCGCGTCCGTATACATATAGGTATGCACAGCTTAAAGCTCCTCTGCCAATCTCTCTCACTCGCCTTTGTCTTATTCTGCCTTTCTCTTTATTTCGAAAATCACACTATTTTGCTGCCAACTGTTCGCTCTCTCTCTGCCTTTTATCAGTATGTTTATTAATGTCGTCGCACCTCTCTTAGTCAGCTCTCACTCCCTCTTATACATTTTGGACCATCTTTTTCGGTTTTATGTCCTATACTTTACCCTGTGCTTTTACATATCGTCTTATTCATATCTTTCCTCTTGTTCTAATCCTCCTCTCCATCTCTAATCTTTAACCACTCCTTTACCCATCCTATTCCTGCCCCTTTTCCATCCAAAATCTCTATCACTCTCTCATGCACTACTTTCATTTCTCTCTCTTCCACCTGCATCATATACTCCTCCAATATATGATCCCTAATATTAGCCTAATTGTTTACATTTCATTTGGGTTCTTAACATTTTTACATACGTCTACCAGAATCCTCAGATCGTCGTTACTCAAATAGCTAAATATCTTTTCGATGCAAATATAGGGTAACATTCTATCAACCAGACAGTAGTTGAATAGATTTTGACAAACTCGAACGCTCTCATCCATCCACTTAATTCTTTCCACACCCCATCTGAAACGATTGTTTATCATACTACCATAAAGAGGGAAGTCCGTTTCGCAGTTGTTTAGTTTTAAATACTTGACAACATCTTTATTTCTCGCGAATTCATTTATGCTTACTTTCAGAATATCATAAAAGGAAATGTTGCTGTTGTTGATTTTCTCCCTTCTCATTCTCTCCAATTCTTTGTTACATTCTTCCTCATATTTTGTCCAATTAATAAATCTCAGTTTATCGTTAATCGCAGTTTCAGACTCAGCTATGTTTGAAGCATGAACGTATAACTTAGCAACCCGCAATATTATTACGTGTTGCACAAGAATGTGAAGTGATTCTTCTAATGTATAATATAACGCTGTACGGTTCTCTTGGTTAACGATGTTGATGTCAGAACCGTATCTTAGAAGGATCGCAACGATATCGTAGTGAGATCTTATAGAAGCACGATGAAGCGCAGTGTTTCCACATTCATCGACGCAATCTACATCGGCACCTGACCGTAACAGAATTTTCATGATATCCAGATTATTTATCGAAGCAGCAACATGAAGCGGTGTTGGTCTTTTATATCTCTTGATATTCAGTTTTGCACCTTTCTTCACGAGTAGTTCACAAATTTCCACTGCTCCGCGTACCGTAGAGTCAAAAAGCGGTGTCGTACCGTCTACATCTTCGCTGTTAACATCCGCGTTACAGTTCAACAGAAGCTTGACGACTTTTACGTTTTTGGCTCGGACGGCTTCGTGAAGCGCCGTTCTACGATAATTATTTCTTGCATTAATATCAGCTCCTTTGTCGATCAAAAGCTTAAGGATTTCATAATTAATGGGATGACGGAGAACACATGAATGTATGGCCGTGGTACCATCTGTATTTTTTCCATTAACATTGATATCGTGCTGCAAAAGCAGCTCAACAAATTTCTTAGAAGCCGTTTCAGCAGCAATACACAATAATTTGTACTGATCTTTTATCCTGGCACCGTTATCCATAAGTAGTTCCATTATTTCTAAATCGTCATTTAGAGCAGCCTCATGCATCGCAGTAAAATTTCTTTCATCTAGAGCATTTACATTAGCTTTATAGTTTATTAATAGTTCTACCATCTCCCTCTGTTTCGTTATTACTGCCATGTGTAACAATGTAGTACTTTTATTAAAAATTGCATTCTCGTGTAACTGATTAACATCGGCACCAAGTTCCAATAACTTCTTGACAATCTTGATGTGTCCCTTCTCCACAGAAGCGCATACTAATTCGCTATCATTTACATCCTCTGGACTAAGTACAATACCATATGTCAAAAAAGATTTAACGATGAATTCACATTTCCTACCGCGTCCACATACAGCGTCTCTAAGACCATTCTTTTTATTCTTGAAACAAAAATATACTGTTTGCAATGTCTTATCGATAGCAATGGAATATTGGTCGTCAATAGCAAGCTGCAGCGTGTTCTTGTCATTTTTGCCCAGTGAAATATTAGTCTTGTGTTGTAGAAGTAATTTGGCAATGTTTTGGTTACCTTCCATAATTGAATGATGAATCGCAGTATGACCATCGTTATCTTTAGCATCGACGTTAGCTCCGTAGGACAAAAGTAACTGAACGCCTTCTAGATGGTTATTCATGACTGCACATTGAAGGGGCGTCCAACCAAATTCGTTCGTAACATCCACAGAAATGCCTTTGGTTATAAGCAGTTTAATCATTTCTATGTCATCTCTGCTAGCAGCATAGTGAAGTAGTTGTTCATTAGGTACTACTTTCTGATTATCATATTTGACAATGTCTGTTAAAAGCAGGTCAGCACTCTCTGGATGGTTATTCTCAACAGCACATCTTATCAAACGGTACACTTCAACCCAACTTGGGGAATTGGATGGTTGAAGGGTATTAATTAATTCTTTTAATCTATTCAGATTCCCCTCTTCCACAACGGACATCATTTCTCTGTACAATCTTTTTTTATCCGACATTTTCTTCAGATCTGTCAATACGTAAATAGCGAAAATTAGAATTATAGAAAAATAGGCAGTAGAAATTGGGATGTGAAATGAAATGGAGACACTTGCCTTAGTGTAAAGCAATAAAAGCGTATGTACCAGATTGTCACTCGTTATTTCAAGTCACCTGAAACATTAAACAACATGTTGAGGATTATTTATTTTATTCTTGTTAGAATAAGGCAATCTTAATTTGAATTAAGTGGTTAGATAGTGCTCATAACCGGATCAGCACGCGGACTGTTTGTTCGTACTTCCGGTAAAAATTCAACTAGGCGAAAGTTCAATATATTTCCTCGTTAATACAATACATGATTTTCATACTTTATTCTGATTCGTATCGATACTATATTGTGTACAAGTGAAGGAGGAGTAATAAACAGAACTCCATAAAACTAAGAGAAGTCTAAAAATTGTTTCTATGCGACCAGCTGTTCAATAGGTTAAGGGCCCAGAAGGCACGTGTAGTGAGAAAATGGGCATAAAGAGGAACAAGTCAGAAAGTAAAAATAAGTAAAGAAATAAAAAGTATAAGAATACTGTAAAAATGTGCGCTGCAACAAGTAATGTAATTTCGTTGAAAGCATTAAGGAATTAAAAGTTAACCAAGTATAACCGTCGTGGA